GCTGCAGCGAGAGCATTTTGAAGATAATGCTGTTAGAATTTCGATGACTACATTGCTCATCAACTTAATTTTGCACACATTTGTATATTGTTTTGATTTATCTCTTAACTTAAACGATGGACGTAATATATACTATACTACAACTGGGTTGCGTTGTATTAAAACACAACCAACCCCACCCCCACCCCCCGGGCCACCCTGTCCTCCCACCCCGCTCCCCACACATTTCTTTTCTTGTAGTAACGATAGCAAAATGATTACTATATGAATATGCATTTACCTTGTAGTGACGTTGTTACTTCAACTGGACCCCACCGCACATATTAGCCATTTTCTTGTTCTTCTTGTTCCTCTTCTTCTTTTTCGCCGTGGCCCCGGCCGGCACACCAAATGGGGGCGCGTCTCGTTCTTCGTTCGCCGCGGCGGCAGGGTGTGATGCCGCAGGGTATGGGGGATGGGGATGGAGGCGGCCGCCGTGCCGGAGGAGCTGCGGCGCAAGCGCTCCGACGGCAAGCAGTGGCGATGCTTTCCCATCTCCTGCAAACTCGTGTTCACATTTACTCAGATCCTGTCCGGAAAGGAGGGCGGCGACGAGAAAGAGGATTGTGGAGGCTGATGTCCAGGAGAGAGGGCTGCCTGGCTTCTAGATCCGAAGGCCCAACATCTCCCCAACGGATGACGCCATGCCAGCTGCCTCATTTGATTGATGCATCCTCATCATCAGCCAAAGCGGCTTGCACAAGGCAGCGAAGTTCAGATGTTATGCTTGGATTATCGTTAAGTTTCTGACAATTTTGTGATGCTAGTCCGTTTCTGCTGCCTGATGCTAGCTGGTTACGCCTGACAATATTGTCGATAAGCTTGCAGTTTCTGAAAATTCTCAATGTAGCAGAGCTATCAGTTGATTAGCCAGCAGTTTTCTGCAATTTTGAAGTACTTCAACACAACATCACTAGATCAGTCAGCCACGCGATTAGCAGATATGGTACTAGTTTCTGAAATTTTGTACTTCATTTGAGCATTGTTGATCGGGTAACAGTTTTTCTGAAATTCCCTGGTTCAGTAGAGCAGCACAAATGAATTTTCTTTTGTCCTTCACTGAATCAGTTAGCCATATGATTTTCATTTTGAGATATGAATATACAGGTTTGTGATCTTTTTCGATGTACTACATACTAATTACAAGGACGTTTCCATTCTTAATTTTCTTTCATTTCTTAATACTTTATAATGTTGAGGCTCTTATTGCTATTCTTGTATCTACGTATTTTCCCAACAGTGCTTCGACCGGGTCATGGTGTGCTCCACTTCGCAGTAACCTATATGTGTTCCTGAGGTATGTAAAACAATAAACTGTTACATAATTTTTTATACTAACAAAAATAACTTAGTTCTTGCATATGTAGTGTTACTGTCATATATCTTTAATGAGTGGAGGAATAAATCAAGGTGAAAGACTGAAACAATGCCTATAATATTCCAAATTCACATTGCTTTGTATTCAGCTATGCCTCATTATATTCTTCATGCATAGACCACTGTTATACGAAATCTTGGACTTGATATCTGGATTAATCCTGCTATTTTCAATAGGTGCAGTGTGGGATACTGTAGTTGAGGCACGGGTTGATGGCATGTTGATGAGCCAATCCTGCTGCTCCAATTGAAAGCTTCAAGGGGCACATCAAGAAGAGGATTTTTATTAAAATGTGCTAATTTTTATGTTCTGAAAGTGACTAACAGTGATCTCTACATGTTAGGCACTTTCTATTTTATTGGCTTCTAATCTGTGACTAACAGTGAGCTCGACTTTTGCTTAACTTATACGATTTACCATCGCCGTCCCGTTAGCTTCCGTTAGCACTTTACAATTTTATCCAAATGGCCAAAATACCCGTAGGACAAAAACTTTCAAAATTTAGATAAAAATTTCAAAAATATCATATTATAAACATAAGATTGTAAGCATCCAAAATTTGGCCAAAACTTAAAATTTGATATTTCAGAATTTTTATCCAAATTTTGAAAGTTTTTGTCCTAAGGGTATTTTGGTCATTTGGAGAAATTTGTACATTACTAACGGAGACTAATCGAACGGTGATGGTAAATCGTAGAAGTTAGGCAAGAGACGATGGCATATCGTAGAACATGATAAAATCAGTGGCAAATCGTAGATCTGTGAGAAACTCAGTGTTATATAATGGATTCTCGCATTTATTATTGGCTACTAGTGGTACTTAATCATAAACAAATGCTGTCACTTTTGACCACTATATATATTATTCCAAAATCATACCATATCACATTTGGCAATACACACATTTGTACTTAGATCCATCCCATTTTCAGTGAGCAGAACATGATCCAACTCTTGGTCTGTTGCTAGATATAGTATCACTAGTTATAACGACAAAGTATTCGTAACCGGACAGAGTAACGACGTGCATTCTTATCTTCCAAAAACAGAGGCGAGCATGTCATGGTTGTAGGACCGAATAGAAAGAACTAAGCTAACCAGAGGAGGGTGAATGGTCAGTGTACCTAAATATCCAAACTTTTTGCGGAATTAAAAGTTACCCTCGATTTCGGTCTAACCGAGGTTGATCCGCCGGTCTGACCGTACCTGCGCCGCCGGTCTGACCGGTGTTGATCGTCTTCCCCTGGTTGCCGTCGCCGGTCTGACCGCCGGTGTCTCGTCAGTTAGACTGCCGAACCCGAGCAAACACAAATTGAAGAACTCTAGATGTAGATGACAATTTTATTACTTATCTCTGTGTTTACAAAGTGCAACAGCAGCACTCCTCACAAAAATTTTGACTAAACTAGAAACCCTGATTCAACTCAGCAAACACAAATCAAAGAACTCTAGATGTATATGATAATTTTATTACTTCTCTCTCTGTGTGTCTACAAAGTGCAACAGCAGCACTCCTCACAAAAAATTTGACTAAACTTGAAACCCTAATTCAACTCTCAACTTAATGCAGGGCGGATTCACTGTTGGGGCTCGATGGGGCTAGAGCCCCGGCTCCATCCCAGCAGAACCCACTGCCCTGCATGCAGAGCAGCAGCCCACAGCTTCGGGAGAGGAGCAGCGTGAAGCAAAAGTGCAGAACAACCAGCTCGTAGGGAAGAAGGAGCAAACAAAGACAACATGTCATGGTCCATGGGTGATTAGTGGACTAATTGGCTGCTAGGCCTTCCTTATTAAGTTATTAGTTTTTGCTTTTTTTTTTTTGCCTACTTCAATGGATGGAACGATCATGGGATTAGGGAAGCGAGTGATTTTTACTCACAAAGTAATCCAACAATTATCAACAATTGTGTTATTGAATTTGTGGTTGTGTCTTTGTAGTATTATGTCCGGGTGATTTTTACTCACAAAGTAATCCAACAATTATCAACAATTGTGTTATTGAATTTGTGGTTGTGCCTTTGTAGTATTATGTCTTCCATCAAGGGAAAGCATTTTCATCCCTCGAGGGGATATCCCCTCGTTTTGTACATGTCATCTAAATAATCATAAAAAAATTGATTAACATGAAATATATCGCTCCACAAACATGCAAGTTAAAATTTAATTTCTACAGGTTGTAAAAAAATAAAAATTATAATTGCGAAGGTACAATAATGGTTTTCAATTTAATTTGTTATTTTTGTTGCAACTTGTAGAAGTCAAATTTGGCCCTATATGTTTGTGGAGTGATATATTTCATATCAGTCCATGTTGTCAATTTTTTTTTAAATTATTTAGAACTATTTAGATGACATGCAAACATCCATCATACTTCGTAAAACACATTAGGAATGAGCACCCCCTATAATTTCGTACTAAATTCGCCACTATAGAAAGGGGATCATATCTCAGTCCCGTTCGGCGTACTAGATGGCGAATGCTACTCCCTCTGTTTCAAGTTATAAGATGTTTTTACTTTAGTCAAAGTCAAACTGCTTTAAGTTTGATCAAGCGTATAGAAAAAAAAGTAATATTTTTGACCCAAGATAAATTTATTATAAAAATATATTTAATTATTAATTTAATAAAACTAATTTGGTAATGTTACTATATTTATCTATAAACTAAGTGAAACTTGAAGCAGTTTGACTTGGACCAAAGTCAAAATATCTTATAACCTAAAACAGAGGGAATAGTATATTAACGGGACGCGAAGAACAGCATGGCTTGAAGAGAGAGAGAACTAGCAATTCGGATATGAAAGCTGAGGAGAAAGACTACTGGGCTGCATTATGGCATGTTAAATTCCATCATCACTCTCTTCCAATTTCCAACTGAAGATGTCCTCCATCACAGGAACATAGCAACACAGAGCACATGTTCAATTTGTGGTGCACCAGATTCATGGAAACACTCCCTCATTGAGTTTTAAGCAATATGTCCAAATGTGTTTCGGCTCTTGAGCTGGAAGTGATCACCAAACAGCTATACAAGCTTCAAGAACTATACAAGCCACGGTCAAATTTGAATTTTAAATTTAAATTTTGTAGTAATTATTTAGAGGATGTTTCATTGCTTTCTATTTTCCAGACCTTAATTTTTCGATCAAAAAGAGTAGAAATACAAATGTCTTGTCCTAATATCAATTTAGATAATTTTCTCTTTTTTTTGTTGCTTAATTTATTTTTTTGGCTCGTAATCCATATATAGCTTAATTTTAGATAGCTTTTCAACTGCACTCTTGACAATTATGGAGAGAAATCTATGCAACAAAAGTGAAGAAGTTAATCCCAAACACCAATCCAAAAAATTATCGAGGGAGCACTAATGGTGGTGGTGGATTCTTCAGTGCATAAGTCTACCCACCAGGCTTCAAAAATGCTCAAATATGGTTTTGTACACCCTGGTCAGTGCAGAGGATGAAAGCAATACTAGAACAAATCCAAAGTCATGCATATAAAAACACAGTGGGTTGACATGCATGTACGTCATTTTTATATTTTTTATTATTTCAAACATATAAATAATAAGTTTTCACTATGGCTTTAGCTAGAAAATACAAACTCTGTTATTAATCAGAACAAACATATAACATAAGATTGCGTAAAATACTTCTTGAAGCTACATTGCAGAAACGTATATAACATCTGCATGTGAAGCATATGGATTGGTCCTTCATTTATACAATATCAGTCGACATTGATCAACTAGAATTATTATAAGTAGCTACTAGCATATCTCGATCACATTAATTAGGAGATCTTTGAGTAGATCTCTTCAATCACGATGCGAACTGCAATGGGGATCCGAACCCAATGGTTACCACCATCGTGCCAAGCCAAGCTTCCAAACCTATAGTCTCCCTGAATTGGCCTCCTCGTCACTTTAAAGGTCACCTTGAAGCTCTGCACCTTTCTATCCTTAGAGAACACCAACATTGGCGGCTCAACAGCCATCTCGATGCCGACGGGGGGTTGGAGGAATGCCTTGTACACGGCATTGGCCTGGCCAACGTTAGTGACGGTGCGTGTCGCGACTTGGATTGTCTTGAGGTTGGGGATGGAGATGGACGGGAGGTTTAGGTCAGCAAGTGATCCTTTCACTGTGGTGCAGTTGTCCCCTGAGCCTAGTCCTCCCATGCAATTGAAGAACTTGAGATAATCGGATGCAGAGATGTCGTAGATGAGCCCTGGATCAGCTGCCATATTCGGATTAATAAACCCTGCTCCATAATCAAAAGGATCCGCAATCTTTTGAACTCTTCCATTAGCTTGTATCGGCATCCCATCGTTGTCATAGGTAAGTGCTGGATGTGAAGAAATATAATGACCAGAACGTTACGAACTCAATCTGTACATCAAATGCATATATTTGCTTGCAAGAAGGCTAACGGTTCAGAAAACAAAATGTAGTATTGACCCCGTTAGCATGTGCTGGTTGCTCTGGGATAGCAACATATTGCTCTGGTTTGGTCATTTAAGTTCATTGATAATGAAGTTAATGTTGGATCGTAGAGAGACCTTTTCACCAAAAACTAGCCAATGAGGTGAGGGGCTCCCCACTTATATATTAGGTCCCTTGTCCTTCAATAACTAATGTGAGACTATTCAACAATTAATGCAGTTTGAATGTACTATTCTTTTGGGTATTGACCAATCAAAGTTCTCCTCCCCGCCAAAAATAAATAAGGTCCATTTAAAATGATGAAGTATTAGCGCAAAATTAAGTTGTGTTCTCCAAACTAAATCTGTTGTTTATGAAAAGAAAAATAGTTACCTGTAGTCATGATTGCGGATTTGAGGGCAGCAGGTGACCATTCAGGATGCAGTGATTTGAGTATAGCAACGATACCACTCACATGGGGGCAAGCCATCGATGTTCCAGACTCGAAATGGTATGGGATACCTAAATCAATAACATTCTTTGGGGCAGCCGCTAAAATCGTAACACCTACGGCAGCAATATCAGGCTGCAATTTGAGAGAACGTCATCCATGTTATGATTACAGAATATTGTGAGCAATGGGAAAACAGTTCAAACAATAACATAATCAACTTGTTCTTAATAACAATTATGATAGTTCTGATTTGGATATATACCTACAGTTATTTATTCCTAGCGAATATTAGCTGGTAAGAGAAATAAAACTGGCTTACTTTTACATTATTTCTGTCTTAATTAATTGAGCTGAACTACAAATAGTGATCTTGCAGCAGCCAGCCTTTCCAAGATAATGATGTTAGAATTTAGAAAACTATGTTGATCAGCAAAGTTATGTGCCTATGTTGTCAGCAACTTAATTTTGCACACATTTGTATTGTTTTGACTGCTCTCTTTAGCATGTCCGTCGAAGCCTTTAGCTATATATACTGAGCTATAAATGAACGTAATATATATGATTCCGACAAATATTAATTAATTTTCAGATTCAAGAAAAACAAATATGCATTATTGAGCCCTAATATGAACGTAGATGTTGTGATAAAGTATTTGTCGATTGCCTTGAGTACAGGCAATTCTGTATATGAACCTTCATTAATTATCAGTACATACTGTAACTAATTTTACCTTGATAACCCCAGGATAGATAGAACTGGGCCCCCTCGATGAGAAAGCTGCTACTTTAGGGGCAGTTACTTTTCCAATCGTTGTTTGGGTTAATGATATCTTCACTTTTGCGGTGCCATCATTTTCACTGTTATTGTATTGTATTTGTTGACAAAAAAGAAGAATGATTGCTAATCAGTGCATGGCTAGAAGTAAAGGCAATTAATTATTCAAGTGCACAACCTAAACTAAATAGTTAGAAGAAGGAAAGTCAACTTTATGCCATTAAGCTTGCATCGGTTCAATGATATGTCATTAATATTGTATCTTTCTATTATATACCATTGAGTTTAGCCATAATTCTACAATATACAATTGGGCCAAGTGTTCTTTTTTCAAAAATGCCAATACAAATATATAAGATTGCAATTGATTAATCATTTAGAAGATTTAGAAAATTTCAAATTTTTTTAGCCTCCTTACACAACATAAAAAAATTGTACATAAATTCCAAGATTCTTGCACTATAGTTTTTATAAAATATAACTTATATGCTACATCCTACATAGAATATTTTTTGTTTGGTGTTTTTAATGTAAAAAAATCTGCTTATATATCATGTAAGGAGACTACACAAAGAATTTCATATCTTTTTAAAACTTCTATCCAGTCAATCAATTGTTTCTTATACGTAAGGGTATTTGGGGTAATTTTTGAAAAAGTAAATGATCCAATGGCATATTGTAGAAGGAATTGATGAGTTCAATGGTACATTATAAAAAAGAGAAAGTCAAAGGTAAATTATTGAACTAGCGCAAACTTGATGGCATGGAGTATATTTTCTCAAGAAGAATGTGGTATAATCAATCTAATGATCCAAAAATATATTCAGTATATATGTAGTTTAATTCTTTCTCTAATTAAGTTACCACCTACTTGGTGTAGTACTGGTATATCCTGTAGGCGATCTCGTAGTCAACTACGACAAAGGGAATAGGCAAAGTGAGGGGGCCGTCCTGCAGTAGCGTGTCGGTGTTGTACTTTGGCATGATCACCCCTGTTCCTCCTTTCTCACCCGTCACCTTGATGATGCTGTTGATGTCTGGCTCCGGATCCAACTTTGTCCCGAAGCAGAAGACCGTCTTCCCCTTCACTGTGCTGTTGATATTGTCGGCATTGCAGCTGCAGGGCAGGAACAGATGACCACTTATGAGGACATGTACAAAAGTAGAGTCTAATATGAGCTCTCTATGTTAATTAATGTCACTAGAGACTATCCTTCTACAATAGTAGAGACAATGAGATTTCTAAATCATTAATGCACTAAATATATTTTTAATTATACTTCTTTCCTTTTCTTCACTCTCATGCAACAAATTTTCCGTTAATAAATGCTAAGAGTCGACTCTGAGCCATTGTCATGCGTAGCAACGATGTTTCTCATTCCTTCCCTCTCTTTCTTCCACGTCATCAAATTTACTTGCATGACAACGAAGAGAGCCCGTTATTAGACACCGTTGTACATGATACTGATCAGTTGGTGCTAGGTAGCTCGCTAGCACTTATTTTAATTACCTTACTAGCTTTAGATTTTAGTTATTTGATTTACTACACTTACTCGTCACGCTCGAAAACTTGTATCTCACTGAACTGACTTGTCGTTTGCCGTGAAAGGACAAAGGATTGTGCCTGCAAGAATCACCACACATTAGTGAAAATTGATTAGATCATTAAGTTCACACATCTGGGATATATATCCAATTTAAGTCAGAATGAATGAACTGCACATAATATATATATACCACAAACTTATGATTATCGCCCAAGGTGATAACCACAGGGAAGGATCGATCCATGGTGGCTGCAGCAACCGTTAACAGCCATGGTGATGAGTTCTCCACTGTCTGAGCAACGGGTCCATCGTTCCCAGCAGAGTATACAACTGGGATTCCTTTGGCAACGACGTGCAAGGTGCCTAGATCTTCCAATGGACTACCAAGAGAAAGTGATAACACATCGACGCCATCGTAGACAGCATCGTCCAAGGCTTTCAACTGGACGGCAGCGGAGCAGCCGCTGCCGGACCAACAAATCTTGTACATGGCTACTCGTGCACGGGGCGCGCCACCCCGAACTGTTCCAGTAGCTAGACCAAGAATGCTAGCATTGTGGACGATGTTGCCACCGGCTGTCGAGGCCGTGTGCGTGCCGTGGCCTTCCACGTCCCTAGGAGATAGAATTTCATTCTTGCTCATGCTGCTTAGAGTATCGTCATCGATATACCACCGTGCACCGATAAGTTTTCGGTTGCAACTTTTGGCTTCGAACGAGGGACCGACTTGGCAAATTCCTTTCCATTTGGATGGAGGGGGACCATATCCATCATCAGCGAAGCTTGGTGACTCAGGCGTGATACCTACGGGATAAGAGCATATTGATTGAAATTCTAAATGTTATTTTACAAGGCATATTATTAATTTACCTCTGCTAACCAGTTAACCCAAAAAAGTAAGGTTAAAGTGATGATGTAGAGTGGGGAATTACTAATAGACTTTACCACCACTGTCTCTACAGTTGAGTCCATTTGGCTGCAGAAGCGTAATACAAATGACAGACACACGATATAAACTAGTACATATGGATTGTGAATAAATATACTAACGTCTGTAACAATACTAGGAACCATTTGTGTTTGCTTAACGTGAGTACTAAATAGTTAGTATTTAAGATGAATGGAGTCAGGAACCGACAACTCCACCATCCAACCTCTACATTATTACTCCCTTCAGTCATAAGTAGCTTGCATCTATCTATTATGTACTAAAAATCCATTAAACATCATATTAACGCTCTCAAGCCACCACCTAATTACACTCCTACAAATGCTTCTACACCACCACATTTCTAATAAATTATAAAAATAACAAAATTTCTGAGAATAAACAAAAAATCTAGTCGATTTTCACTAATATAAGGTGGACCCATTATTTTCTATCATTAGATTTATTTATCAAATGAAAAGGATAAAAACAAAAAAAAGTCCTGCATATCCCACCCCCTCCCATCCAGTATGTACCTCCCCACCTACTTCCTTTCTCTCCTATTTTCCTCTTTTAGTTAGATGGAAAAAATATTTTATGATAACACATTTTAAACAACTATATTGTCTGAATCATTTAGCTATTTTTTTGTATTGGTGCACACCATTAGATTATTTACTATAATAAAATTTTAAATTTAAGATCCAAATTAACTATATTACTAAAGAGATTCATTACGTTGGGTCATATATATTCTACGGGCTAGCTACTATGTTCACCGATCCATGCATTTTTAAGAACAAATCAAATAGATTTTTAAACCTTCTGATTAATAACATGCACTTAAATTAGAACAATTTGAAATAATTTAAGTAGTTTAAGTAGAAAATACAACACCCAAAGTATTTTCTATTAGATCTAAGATTAAAGGTATTTATAAAAATAGATAACTCAAAACTAGGACTCATTCGATCTATCTTAAAAACAATAACATCCACTCATTCTCTAGTCTTAGGACATGAGCAATGTATAAGACCCACTTGTATCATATGGTTGGCCCATGTGGGACCAGCCTTTATATAATAGCACCTACTGCAGTGTATGTGTGACAAAGAAGGCATTAGAGTGGGTCCCACCTAAATAAAACATTTGTACTACTCCTCAACTACCCCTTCCCTTCCCTTCCAGTGAATTTTTTCCTCATCTCCTCAAATCCCCCTCCGATTCTCTTCCACGCAAGAGGAGCAGGCGACGGCAGTGGCTAGCGCGAGAGGATCAAGCGACGGCGGCAGTGCTCCCAGATTCGGTGGGGAGATCCGGCGGCAACGATGCTACTAGGGGGTGGATCCGGTAGGGCAGTGCTTAGCAACGATGCCATCTCATGCGAGTGGATCCAGTGAGGGTGGTAGCGGTCGCGGGTGGTTCTAGTAGCGGTGGAGGCGGTCGCCAGCGGACACGGCTTCGGCGATGACGGTTGCGATGGCGGTCGCAGGTGGATTCAGCGCCGACAACGGCGCTCATCGGCGGGGGCCGATTTTGGCGACAACACTCACGGTGGCCCTGGCGGGCGGAACCGGTGAGGGCGGCGGTTGTCCCAGTTGATCTGGCAGTGGTGGCGGCGACCGCAACTCCATGCAGGTGATCCCTGCTTTCTTCCCCTTTCTATGTCGAGGCTTCCATTCTTCTTCCCTTTTCTCCCATGGTGGTAAGAAACAGATTCAGAGAGAAAGCAGCAGTGAGAGAGAGCGTGCGATTTTTTTATTGCTTGTGGTGTGCTTATGGCCGGTCCTTATGCATACGGCTACCTCAAGCAAAGTATTCATATAAGGACTACTCCCACAGTGTATAATACACACCCTAGAGGCTTAAGACCCTCCTTATGGCATACATTGTGGATGCCCTTATGTATACCTCTGACCCTCCCATCCTCTCATCTCCTATTCAATTATCTCCTCTTCTATCTTTTTTATGTTACATAATATAATAATAGTCATGGCTATTGTTTTATTTATTATAAAATAAATAAATCAAGATCACATTAGCTATACTTTACTATATAAAATTTGAAAACATCATTTGAACGTAGACCATATAGTTTGCATGGTAACTTAATAACAATGAAAAATTAATTGAAAATATGTATTACGTTATACCAAAAAATTGTACATAACAAAAATCAACCAAACACCTTCTAGAGTGCTCATAAGCCACCGTGGATCATGTCCTCAAATTCTAAACAAAATCAATTAAATTGACATATCCATTATTTTTAACTATTAAATCTATTTTTTGAAAAATCTTAAGCCGCCATCTGTCACGTCCAAAAAAAAGAAAGATTCTTAGAAATACTTAGAGAAATGAAACACCTCAACATCGGCTTTCACTTAAATCATTTAGAAAAAAATAATAAAATCTCCACCTAATCCTCGCGCTCACATGCACACAACACTGGTCGGCCCCTGCCTATTGTTTAGCTATTCAACTAAAAGAGAAACAATCAATAATGTTAGATATTTTTTGAGAAGCATAGTGCAAACAAAGGCGCTCACAACACGCGCACACTCACCCTTATGGGCTCCTCCGAAAGACTGGACTGACATATTTTTAGATTAACGAAGTTAGCACGGGTGCCTCGCTATCGACGGGTATGTCGCCTATCACTGAAAGAATAATTAGCTGTAAATGCGAGCATCCGTGTCAAGTCTTGGACTTGAACCTTGTGGGCTGATTCCCCCACGAGAAATCTAACTATTTAAGGTACGCTCATATCGCAACAATTTTTTATATTGAAACAACTATAGTTTTTGAGCTACATTTCTGGAATACTCTAATGCCTTTTAAACCAGTGGAACCATTATTCGTAACTTATATAAAAAAATAAGCGTGTACTCATGGTACAACATATTTCAAAAATATTACTGCGCAATTATATTTCATTGTTATCGTATTCATGTTAGGCTCCGTGGAGCCTCTCCCCTACTCTACATGAAATGTTCATAGATGGATCGCCTCTCAAACTACATGAATCGTATTAGTCTATATAAATCCATACATTGAGCTTCGTATTCCACCCAATTCATCCTTTAATAAACTATGATAATATATATGCAATTAAAAAAGAAAAACACCTTACTTTTACTTTCGTTGACATGCTTTCTAAAGAAAATAAGTCTACCTTTGTTTCAAATGATAAAGAAGAATATAACTAATAGATATTAGTTAAATATGATATAATATACCAACTAAAACAATATATGGAGAAATCGTGCCAGATGTTCTCCGGTTAATATTTTGTTGATGTAAGTGTCTCAAACTTAGTGTGCGGCACATGTTCGCGCGAATGCATGGGCTAGCTTTCTAGTTTAACATAAAAGTTGCTCATATTAGAATTATTAATCTTATCAAATCTAGTATTTATGATTTTATGGTAGTACTGTATCAACGATGGAGCTTGCAGAAAAACTTGGAATATTAATAAGTGTAGGGCTGTTTTAAAATTATTCTATTATTATAATTTTTGAAAAGCTAGAGAGGGCTAACCAGTGTTAGTCTCCAAGAATTTCCACCCCAGTATCCTATATACCTATACAATTCATCCCCAATAACTCTAATTCTCTCATCTCACAGCTTGCCACGTCACTCTAAATTAGTCTGACCATTAGATTTGCAATGGATGTCTTAGATTTTCACTGATTAGGATCTGCAGCAAAAACATCTAGCTCTACTTGAGTACCTCCACGTCTCCCAAGCGCTTTATCTTTCGAAACTGCCAGTTTTATTACCCACTATGATTACTTCTTAATGTCTGATGTGTTCACAGAATCAACTGGTAGCATTTGTTTCCTCTTTTCTTGCTTTTCCTTTGCCTCTTCCGATCGTTCTCCTTTCTACTCCTAATCTTGGTTTCCTTCGGGATATGTTTCCCCTCGCTAACACTCTTCAGATGAATGCAGAAATCTTCTCGATTCAAGATTGAATGGTGAACTCTCGAGCATGAGAAAAAAGCCCATAAAGGATAGTTCTACTAATCTCTTTGTTTATTAATTTTGCATTGTTTTAGACATGGTAAGCGTAATATAGGTCTATCCATGTTCTCATTTTCTTCAAGTCCTATTTGATAAAATAGACATACTTTATCATCTTCCCTGTTTTAGAAGAGCTCTTCAAACAAAGGGAAAAGGACTACTAAAGGTAACTCCTTGCCTGGCTTCATGAAATTTCTGCTTTCCCTAGAATCTCACTTTGGGATAATTACGTCTACGCATCAACATGTAAATCAGGCCATTAGTATTAAATTACATTCATATATGTGCCACGTGTTGCTATATTATTTCTTAAATGTATCGTCTGATTCCATAGATTTTGTTAACACTGACACTTCGATGCAAATGATAATACAAAGTGACCGTTATTTTGCGTGCTTTTGCTATATAACACATTCTCTTCGGATGAATATGTGTTAGGCTTTGTCTAATATTTTTAGATAATGCTATAGGCAAATCATCGAACTGAGAGATACAAGCACCATATTTAATCTTGAGTCAATATATGTTTAATGTTTAGAACAGAGCATGAGAGCATCAACTATTTGGATATTCATGCAGCACATTCACAACAAACTAGCATCTACGTCAAAGAGCAATTGCCAGACCGTACTTTTTTTTTAATATACGACGCTGTTGACTTTTTAAATATGTTTGGTTATTTGTTTTATTAAAAAATTACGTAGTTATTATTTATTTTTTATGGCTTGATTTATCATTAAATGTTTTGTAAGCATGACTTATATTTTAATACGTTTGCACAAACAAATTGAATAAAATGAGTAGTGAAACGCATATAAAAAGTCAAATGTGTCATATATTTAAAAACATATATAGTTATTTTTAGCACATTAGTATTTTTCTTCTGTAATTTAGTTAATAAGCCATCTTACATTTTCATAAGTTCCCGCTGCAACGCGCGGGGTATTTTTCTAGTTATTAAGACAAATCTATGCATATTATTTCTTTTTATTTTAAACTAAGCAGTTTAGAATTATCAAATTTTCATTGGTTTTTATTCAAGCACTTTCTTTAATTATTAAATACTTTCTAAAAATTTCTTTTCCTTAACAATTTATAATTAGGAAATTTTCAGGGGGTGACATTCACCGTAGGGAGTATCTCTGATTGCATGGTATAATATTGAACTTGGAGTTCAAACTGGAACATGTTATTTAGGCGTGCAAGTATTAATGTTTTAATTACCTGTGTCTAACACACCAATAATAATATCTTCCCCGTAGTTAGCTTTGGCAAGCAGGCCATTTGGTTGCCTGTAGTCCATTCCAAGGAAATCCCAGCTTCGACTGGTATGCAATTGATGGATATGGTTCTCTCTCACGCTGACCACATCAGGCAACCCTAGAATATTAATTGCAATTAGAATTGTCAGAGTATATATAGACATACACACACATGTCCTTACTTTTTTTATCTCTAAAAGGAAAAGATTAATTAATTAATTAATTACCTCGGATGATGCTCGCTTGTGCTTTTGTGAGCCTTGCAGCAAAGCCAGAGAAACTGTACCTATAGCTGTATACGATGGACTCAAGAGCCGCCTCCTTGCTTCAAACAAGTAACCATGTATTATTTTAATATTACTCCAATTAATTAATTCACAGTAGTAGGGGTGAAAATGGTGTTTGTGTGGTAATTATCGATCGACCAACTATGTTCCTGATTTTTACTAATTTTACCCAGGCTTTTTTCCGACCATTTTTATCCCTAGATATATGTACGTAGTAATGTATTTAGTGATAGATCAAATCCTACTCTCTATATTTTTGTCAATCAACGCATATATACACATGAGCATGTAGTTCTCCTGCACATATTACCTGCTAAACATTTTGTGTGGTGATTTTTTTTCATCACATGAAGAGGCACACGCATATACACTACTAGAAACTGGAATACCCCTTACGGTCGCTAATTTTACTGATGTGTATATGCAACCAACTATCAGAGAAATTATGCACTCAATTGCCCTTTTCAGTCTAATTTACTCCTGCTTCACATTCCAAGTTTCCATTAAAGCAATGTTGTTTTCCCTTATTTGTCTATTAGTTGCTACATTTGTTAGTTGCTACATTTGTGTACGTTTTCAATTAAGGTTTTATATTATCATCAAAGATATTATTTTTGCATCTTTTCTTAATGATATACATCCATATTTGTCTCTTTCGAATTCATAATGTTTGTGTCGATCGGTTGCTATGTTTCTGTTATTGGCTATTAGTAAGCTTTTGCATATAAGAGGCAATCCATTTAATCATAAAGAAACGTTGTAACTTTTCACAACTATATATATTATCATTGAAAAAATCATTCCATATCACATTTTGCAATACACAAATTTGTAATTAGATGATTAGATCCATGCATCCCGCTTGCAGTGAGCAGAGATAGTGATCCAACTGTTGACCTGTTACTTGGACATGGATAATATTAACTTACTTGCTAGTAGGTAGTATCATCAGTTAAAAATGAAAAGAATTTGCAAAAGGACAGACAGAGAATGTGCATTCTTACCTTCCCAAAACAGAGGCAAGCATGTCATGGTGGGAATCAGTGACGAGATCAGCATCATCGTGTCTTCTCTCCCCAAGGTAGACAATGTATAGCTTCAAATATAGTATAATTCATCAATCAGCCAAGCAAGCACCTCTCTATAAATAGTTATTACCAGCACGTAGTCGTAGCTATATATTAACTCAATGATACTCCCTCCGTTTCAAAATGTTTGACACCGTTGACTTTTTAGCACATGTTTGACCGTTCGTTTTATTCAAAAAATTTATGAAATATGTCAAACTATATGTGTACATGAAAGTATATTTAACAATGAATCAAATGATATGAAAAGAATAAATAAATAATTAAATTTTTTGAATAAGACAAATGGTCAAACACGTATTAAAAAGTCAATGGTGTCAAACATTTTGAAACGGAGGGAGTATATGAGAGCATTTTTACAGTGTTTGAGGAGATACCAAGATGCATGATTTTTAGTACAAAGTTTTTAGTACTATTCTAATTCTACTGTAGAGCCTCCGGTAACTTCTTAACGACCAATAAGAAAACTCCAGTTAGAAACATGATATATGCGTGGTGATCGCATGAAAAAGGAGATGGCGACTTGCTATACCTTCGTGGGTGGTTCGCCCTGCTTAAGAGCATGCGATGACCATGGCAATTGCAGCAAGAACTGCAGAAGAAAGGTGAGAAAAAGAGACTGCCTTGAGAGCTTCGACATATCTCTCTACTGATCTTTGAGTTGTGCACACATGGATGATATGCAAACTGCCTGCCTTTCCCTTTAATTTATACTAAATGGACCAGCATGTCCATCTCAATACAAACGTTGATGAATTCCGCATATATCTGCGTCTGGTGTTGTGTGTTAATGGAGCCGTAGTGGTCTAGTGGACCATATATATGTGAAAATGAATAACCAAAAGTCAGTGCTTAGAATTATGAAAAAAAAAACTGGCCATTCGTTTCCATTTTCTTACGTGTGTTAGTAAATTGGGATTAGTTTCTTTAGTTCTATATATATATATATGGTGTTTTTTTACAAGAAATCTATAATTACTGGCCTCTGCACCAAATAAGGATGCATATAGCCATATTATGTTTAGACTTCATACTCCCTCCATATTTTAATGTATGACGCCGTTGACTTTTTGTCCAACGTTTGACCATTCGTCTTATTCAAAAAATTTATGTAATTATTATTTATTTTATCGTGACTTGATTCATCATCAAATAGTCTTTAAGCATGACATAAATATTTTCATATTTGCATAAAATTTTTGAATATGGCGAATGGTCAAACGTAGGTCGAAAAGTCAACGTCGTCATACATTAAAATACGGAGGGAGTACAAAATTTGTACCACTTGTTGTTTATAGCAACATAATGGGTGGATGTAGGACAGGTCCAATAAATGATATGTGCACAGTCAAAAGCACTAGTACAGGGAAGCCTATAGTGTATGGCTATATCATGGGAGGACCTATCATTTGTATTCACAATTTCTTTTTGCCAAAATTTCAGTATATACAACGTATAATAGACACACCTATCATTAATTTGTTGGCGAAAATGTCTGACCTATGCTCAAAATAGATATTGAACCCTTCCCTACTCCATTCATTAAATTTAAATATATATTAAATTTAATGACTCTAGCCGTCTCCATTAATCTTGCAGCAATGCCTAAGGGGCTTGTGACTCAATTTAAGGCGTGGATCAATATAATGCAATTAAAAAAAAATGCGGAAGACGGTAGAGTTGAAGTTCCTGTGGGATAGAACAAAATGGAAACAGATAGTTGTGACTAGCGCATAATATATGTTTCCAAAGGGGACAAAAGATTTTCTTTCTTAATTATTCATAATTTCCAAAAAAAATGCACCATGTGGAGTAGGATGAGATATCAATATTTCAGATTGTCAGTTTTCGTAGAGGACAATGGTTGACTATCCCCATTCTAGAAATCCTGCGTGCCACTATTATGTCATGGGCTTTAAATAACTCGTCGACTTATATAAGAATATTATGCTATCATTGACCCATAATTGCAATGCCCCTCTTCCTCTCAATTATTAGAATGAAATCTTCTCCCTCCCACAGACTCACACACACGGATAGAATGTGGAATTATGGAGCAAACACTCATTATTCCAAAGAATATATGCAATATCATTGTTCATCTATCAATTTGATGCCCTGAACGAATATACTCCGTAGCACTTTAAGGATGCAATGTTTCATGTGGAGCCAGTTCTGTGTATCACTAGTTTTTGTCGATGGTGCACCTTGCACATCTCGCAGCATGATGTATTGATCACTCGTCATCTACATCAAATTAGTTAAAGCGACACAAAGCAAGTTCTCCATTCACAAAACATATATATATATATATTATAAATCAATAGAAAGCAGTTTATTAATATATACATAGACATTATGTAAAATAAAATAAAATCGATTTAAGAATGCTGTATCTAGTTTGGAGTCAATGTATTACAAGGGAGGATCTATGGTGGCACTCATGCATACATTTAACATAAAAAATACATCTTAATTTCTCTACTATGTGTATCTTCTTAAACATTTTTCACATTTTTTTCCGTAAGCTATTAGGGTCGGCCCCTACTGTTAAAATTTATATTATAAAGAGAAAAAATACATAAGAGAATATTTATAGGTGGGGAAACACTACGCCAGATCCTCACACCTCTGACGGGATACCTGTGACGGGCAAACGAATTGGTCAGTAGTGACCATTACCTTTGACGGGTTATACGGGATGCCGTCACCGGTGAGGCATCTGGCCGCGGCCCGTCACAGGTATCCCCTCACCTGTGACGGGCCGAAAGGAAAACCCGTCAGAGGTATACCAGTGACGAGTTTTTCTTCCAACCCGTCACTGGTATCCCCTCACCTGTGACGGGCCGATACATTAGAAGCCGTCAGAGGTGATGGGCCGCCACCTGTGACGGCTTTCATTTCTGGCCCGTCACAGGTGAGAGGATACCAGTGACGGGCCGTTGAATAGAAGCCCGTCAAAGGTATGAGCAATACCTTTGACGGGCTTTTTTTATCTAACCCGTTTGAGGTGTGTTGGGTCTATAAATACCCCCAAATTGCCAACTGCTTTCCATCCCGACCATTGTACTGTTCACAAATCGGTTGGGAGGGCAAGGGGGGCGATTTTTTGCTAAAATTCAAGGTAAAAAACACATTATTCTCCATTCATTCTCAACATATCGATCATCATTTATTTTTCTTCGTATGTTGTTGATTTCAGATGGATCGTAGATGGATGTACTATGCGCATCGTTCGTCTACCGAGTATAGAGAGGGGGTCACTGAATTTGTCACATTTGCGGATAATGACAGAAAAAGTAGGATGAGCATGCACATGTTGTGCCCATGTAGGGACTGTAAGAATGAACAGATGATCGAAGACAAGGATGAAGTGCATGCTCATTTGATAATGAATGGATTCATGAAGAAATATACCTGCTGGACCAAGCATGGAGAGCAAGAGGCGCCTGATGTCGCAGCTGAAGAAGTGTTGGATCAGGATGTAGAGAACACCGCCGCAGCTCGAGAAGGCATGTTCGTACCTTCTCCTTTAGGTGGAGAGACCATAGATTTGGACACTCAATGTCTATCTACAATGTTGCATGACATTGAAGACGCAGAGGACAACGACAGAGATTATGAGAAGTTTAGTAAGTTGGTGGAAGATTGCCAGATGCCGTTGTATGATGGATGCAAGTCGAAGCACAGCAAGTTGTCATGCGTGTTGGAACTCATGAAGCTTAAGGCTAGTAATGGCTGGTCGGACAAGAGTTTTACAGAACTCCTTGAGCTGTTAAAGGATCTGTTGCCAGAGGGGAACAATTTACCTCAGACGACATATGAAGCGAAGCAAGTATTATGTCCGTTGGGCCTGGAGGTCAGAAGAATTCATGCATGTCCGAACGACTGCATTTTGTATTACAAGGAATACGCTGACTTGGATGTCTGCCCTATCTGTGGGGCATCAAGATACAAACGAGCAAAGAGTGAAGGTGAAGGAAGTAAGTCAAAGAGGGGAGGCCCAGCAAAGGTGGTGTGGTATCTCCCAATTGCGGAGCGCATGAAGAGAATGTTTGCGAACAAGGAACAAGCTAAGCTTGTGCGCTGGCATGCCGAAGAACGGAAAGTCGATACTATGCTGAGGCACCCAGCAGATTCAGTACAGTGGAGGACAATCGATAGGATTTACCAGGAATTCTCAAATGACCCAAGAAACATGCGTTTCGCAATGTGTACGGACGGCATTAATCCTTTTGGTGATTTGAGCAGTCGTCACAGTACATGGCCAGTTCTGCTTGTTAACTATAACCTTCCTCCCTGGTTGTGTTTCAAAAGAAAGTACATTATGCTTGCCATGCTCATTCAAGGACCGAGACAACCTGGCAACGATATCGATGTGTTCCTTGAACCGATAATCGATGACTTCGAAAGGCTATGGAATGAGGGCACACGAACATGGGACGCATATGCACAAGAGTATTTCAACCTCCATGCGATGCTGTTTTGTACCATCAACGATTATCCGGCCCTTGGCAACCTTTCTGGCCAAACTGTGAAAGGGAAATGGGCGTGTTCGGAGTGTATGGAGGAAACAAGAAGCAAATGGTTGAAGCATTCACACAAGACGGTCTACATGGGTCACAGGAGATTTCTCCCAAGGTATCACCCGTATAGGAATATGAGAAAGAATTTCAATGGACACAGAGATACAGCCGGACCCCCGACAGAGCTAACAGGGACAGAGGTGCACAACTTAGTGATGGGAATAACCAACGAGTTTGGAAAAAAGAGGAAAGTTGGAAAGCGAAAAGAGAAGAGCACATCGAAGGAAAAAACAGAGGAGCATGTGGAAAAACAAAAGACAAAAGAGAGGAGCATGTGGAAAAAGAAGTCAATATTCTGGAGACTACCATACTGGAAGGATCTTGAAGTTCGCCACTGCATAGATTTGATGCATGTCGAGAAGAATGTATGCGAGAGTTTAATGGGATTACTACTTAACCCAGGTACTACAAAGGATGGTCTCAACGCCCGACGAGATCTGGAAGATATGGGTGTTCGGTCGGAGCTACATCCCATAACCACGGAATCCGGCAGGGTTTACCTTCCTCCAGCCTGCTACACTCTCTCGAAAGAAGAGAAGATTGATTTGCTAACATGTTTGAGTGGTATAAAGGTTCCATCTGGTTACTCATCAAGAATCAGTAGGCTCGTTTCACTGCAAGATCTTAAGTTGGTTGGAATGAAGTCGCATGATTGCCACGTTCTTATCACACAGCTGTTGCCCGTTGCAATAAGGAATATTTTGCCTCCTAAGGTGCGACACACGATCCAGCGGTTGTGTTCCTTCTTCCATGCAATCGGCCAGAAGATCATTGATCCCGAGGGACTAGATGAACTACAGGCAGAACTTGTGAGAACCCTATGTCATCTTGAGATGTACTTTCCTCCAACTTTCTTTGACATAATGGAACATCTTCCGGTGCACCTTGTGAGGCAAACAAAGTGCTGTGGTCCAGCATTCATGACGCAGATGTATCCTTGCGAAAGGTACCTGGGGATCCTTAAGGGTTATGTACGGAACCGTTCACACCCCGAGGGGAGTATCATCGAGAGTTACACCACCGAAGAGGCCATCGAATTTTGTGTGGACTACATGTCAGAAACATCTTCAATTGGATTACCACGATCTCATCACGAAGGGAGGCTTGACGGTGTTGGTACTGTTGGAAGAAAGACTATTAGGTTGGATCGTAAGGTGTACGATAAAGCTCATTTCACGGTACTACA